TACGTTCTGCTAATCTGGTTCTGGTGGTGCAGCGTATTGTGAGGGCCTGTATCACACGACGGGCAGGCATCACACACATCTTCATCAATTCGTGCCGACTACACCACCCTGAACGTAATTGCACCAAAACTACCCTGACGTTCTTCAGCTGCAATGGATGGGGGTGGACTCCGAGGACGGCATTCATTTTATAATTGCTAATAGCATCGGCGACTGCATCGGTATGAATGCCACTCATACCTGCCTGACAGGCTTCTTGATCTAGAGGTTCTCTCTTGTAGCGCTGGACCTCCCTCTCTAGATCATGTATGTCCTTCCTGACAAGCCTGGGTGGGGGAGATTTATCCACCGTATTGGGATGACTCTCACGGTAACACCCAAGCAGGTACTGCAACAAAAGCATATGATTATACTGACGTAAGGGAAGGAATTTCGCCTCCTCATGTAGATGGTGCACTGGTGTCATGAGAGGGTGCCCTGTCACAGTTCTCAGGGCAGCGTTCTGGATGTGCTTCCACTGCGTAGCACTAGTATTCGCAGACCACACTGGAGCCGCATAGCTGACCACAGACAGTCCTATCGCGTTTTAAGAGGTCAACAAAATTACCCTGATTTGTCTAGGTACCTGACGTTCTTCAGCTGCAATGGATGGGGGTGGACTCCGAGGACGGCATTCATTTTATAATTGCTAATAGCATCGGCGACTGCATCGGTATGAATGCCACTCATACCTGCCTGATAGGCTTCTTGATTTAGAGGTTCTCTCTTGTAGCGCTGGACCTCCCTCTCTAGATCATGTATGTCCTTCCTGACAAGCCTGGGTGGGGGAGATTTATCCACCGTATTGGGATGACTCTCACGGTAACACCCAAGCAGGTACTGCAATAAAAGCATATGATTATACTGACGTAAGGGAAGGAATTTCGCCTCCTCATGTAGATGGTGCACTGGTGTCATGAGAGGGTGCCCTGTCGCAGTTCTCAGGGCAGCGTTCTGGATGTGCTTCCACTGCGTAGCACTAGTATTCGCAGACCACACTGGAGCCGCATAGCTGACCACAGACAGTCCTATCGCGTTTTAAGAGGTCAACAAGGTTTCCTGGTCCGCAACCCAAGTGCTGCCGGCTAGCGCCTTGAGGACCTTATTCCTACTTTTCATCTTGTCGCTGATAGCTGTGGCTTGCGCAGACGACTTGAACATGCTGCCGAATGTGACCCCTAGAATCTTGGGGTAGTTCGTGGTCGGCATTAGATTCCCCTCGATCTGAACATTCAGCTGTGTTCTCATCTCCGCAGACCATGTGGTAAAGAGTGTGGCCGTGGTGTGGAGTGTGGTCAATTGATTTCGCGGCGGATATTTTAATAGTCCTCGCGTGGAAGTATGCGGCGAGCTCCGCGAGATAGGGGTTCAGCCTTTCACATATGTCATCGACCACAAGGCCCGACGCCATGATCGTACGTATACGCATACGTTACGATATCTATGCCGTCTGGAAGGCGAGCAATTCCGGAAAAGTTGAGGGTAAACAGTTCCGGAGATATCACCCCACCTTGGGGAACTCCCTGTTTCACTCTACGGGCTTTGAATTGCTTGTTCCGGGATTCCACTGGCGTCCACACATATAGTTGATTATCCAACGTTTCAAACTTGGCTGGCATCCTTGCCTGGCTTCAGTAGCGGGACCACTCGACCCATTTTCCAGGTTTCGGGCACTATGTGGGTGTCTAGCGACAAATTGAGAACTTTCGTTAAGTACTCGACTCCCGGTGTATCCAGTTGCTTCAACATTACCATTGATATTAAATCCGGGCCCAACGCTTTAGATGACTTAGCGTTTCGGATGACATTCGCAAAATCACCCATCGTAAAGTGTGGAGGTACATCCTCCTATCACTCTCGGGGTACACGACAAGTTGGCGGTTAGAATGGCGCACCTTTTCGGATCAGTCACCGTTACGTCGTTAAATGTGACTGATGTTCTATCATAATTTTTTCCAGGGTTCGAGAGTGACTTTACCGTTACCCACAGTTTACTCAAATCGGTTCCAATGTTGCAACACTTCAGATGGTCTAGCCACTTTTTCCGCTTATGCCCCTGTACCAACCTGTTGACTTCCACTGTCAGTTCACTGACTCTGGGATCAGTAGGGTTGGTAACCCGGACCTCATCACGCTCATTCGCTAGTCCTGCTGCCTCTGCTGGGAAATTTGGTCTTACTTCGCCTATTCGACCAGCAGGTATATAGCGAGCGGCTGCAGTTTTAATGATGTCCCGGAAAATCCTTTCAGCTACCCGAACATCAGAAGGGTTGGGCAGTTCTCTGAACTCAGGCCATGGTTAAGGAAAGTGCGGCGTTCAGAGGTTATGAAATCGGGCGATCTGCTGATGGAGACGATTATCGGGAGATGGTCTGAGCCAAGAGAAATGACGGGTTGCCAAGTCACGTCATTTATCAGACCGTGTGACAGAATGGTTAAATCTGGCGAACTGTAACACTCTCCTCTTATTCGGGTGGGGCATCCTCGTTTACGGTGCAAAATGTGAAGCAGTCAATCTGCTCCGCCAACGCTAATCCCCTCTGGTCATTACCTAGGACGGAATGCCACAACTCATGTTGGGCATTGAGATCGGTCTGTATTGAACAGAATAGTGTAACAGGAACGCTAATCCCACACCTCTACTTCTGGTGCGATCCTTCCTTAGTACGTTGTAACCATAACAACGTTGTGGGCTGCAATTTTCATTCATGATTTCCTGCACCGCTGCGATCTTAATATTCCTTCGACTCATAAAATCCACTATCTCATCTATTTTGCCTCGGAGTCCGTTGCAATTGAATTGCAAGAATGATGCACAGTCCGGAGTTGGAACAGCAACATGTGACGTTAGGTGCTGCGGAGTTGGTTGCTTTTCTAGAGACTGCGGTGAAGTTCCATACTCCGACGACGTCTCTGATGAGGACGACGAAGAAGTGGACTCGCTGGTCCCCAGCGTTACTGCAGCAAGTCGCAACAGAATCCCTTTCGCTGTAGTCCCGCAAAGGCCATAGTCCGGAACAGTTCTTAAAGTGCATCCATTCTTTGCAACTATTACATCGTACCGAAACAGATCTGTGGTGGATGACGTTCTGACAAGCCGAGCAGGACCAAGGTCCGGGGTTTTCCTCAATCCCGGCACGGACCAATAAAATCCGGAGCAAGCATTCCGGGATATGCTGCTCCCAATACAGACAAATAAATAAACACAAACATGTACATACTGAGTTGGCAGCCGCTGGCCGAAACTGGGATCTTGTTGTTTCGGGTCAATCCGGTATCGTAGAAAACACTGCCGTGGGATTAAAAAAATGTATATTGTCCTGTCTACGGAAGGGGCATACAATAATCACACATAAACATATGTTAAATAAAAAATAGACAATAAATGTACTAAATGCAACATAAACTCCGTCCAACACACTTTGGAATCACGTGACTGTCTATACAAATGCAACAAGCCTTTCTCAAAATTTTTAGTAAAATCTACTATTTAATATATTTCCTATATAGGAAAAAGTACGTTTTCGATACGTCATTGATTTGATCAGAAAGGTATTGTTCTTAGCAAAATGTAGTGAAGTGAATGATAAAATGTATACCACCCACGCAAATAATTCGCGCTAGTAACTATTACTTGCAGCACTTTTTTTATAAGACTTCTTTACTATTTTAATATACAAAATATTTTTGTTTATTATGTTGAGTATTTGTGTGTTTTATCAATCTGCAATTTAAAACAAAATCACAGAATTGAATTTGATCCTACATTTTTAAGAGATCCTACATCCAAAATTGTCAGCAGCGGCAATGAGATACAATATTTTATAGATGCAAAGTACCCTGCTGCAATATGTTCTGAACTTAAGTTTAAACTCTGCTTCGAAGGTTCCAGAGATTCGGGAAATATTTTCCATTATCTTGGATGTATGCTTGTATTTTGAATGAAAACGAATGTAAAAGAAAAACAACAATTATATATGAATTTTTCAAATGTATATACCATACAAAACTATGTGTTGACTGTCAATTGGAATAAGACTGAATCCGTTCTGTTTAATAGACTTCGTTTTGTTTTCTATGTATCTGTGTTGGCTCCTTTGTTGTTAATTTGAAGATGAGATGATATGTTAGGTGTAGTCATTGACACAAAGTTTAGTTGTTCAGCGCATGATGATTATCTTCTTTTATCGAACGTTCCCACGCCTCACATTCCCACCCCTGCCGACCGAGGGGGGCGACGACTTTTTTAGGCAGGGATCGTACACATCATGATCCGCATCATAATGGGAATTTAGTAGGAAATTGAAAACCAGTTACATAATCTAATTCATCAGCTAGTTTGTCAAATAATAAAACATGCATTTAATTGTTTAAAAATAAAATTATTCTAGATTAAATAACTTCTAAACTTATACCAAAATCTGCACTACAGTACACAGAATTAAAGTCAACACATATTTTGCTAAGAGGTTCGCCCATTGAATAATTCGTGCGGTGAAAATATGTATATAATAATTGGTAGTATATACTAGAACTAAACTGAACATTTATTCTAATAGATGAGATTAGGAAATCTGAAGGTATATTACCTTTAATATTTTTAGTACAAACATGGAGTTCAACATAATAAGTCTGCTTTTAATTGTAGGCAATCTAATTAAGTTTAGCCTGCTAGCATAATAAGGCAAAACAAAACTACTATTCCAATGTAAACCTCGTAAGGCAAATACTTCTTGCCTTTTTCCTCTCTGCCTTTGAATGTCAATCAATGTTGTACTAAAATGACGATCGCAGATTTAAATTCAAACTATAAGTGTACTAAAAGTACTAAAGAGCACTAAATTTGGTGACATTGGTATTACAGTATAAAGTATATAAAAACGACCAAATGTTATTAAATTTATATTATTTCGTTAAAGGAGATTAAAAAAATATATAGAAAATGTTACATAATTTATTACCTGTTATAAAATTTCAAAAAAATTCCGTTGATTAAAAAGTTCAAATATGGATCAAGTCCCGGTTTTCTTGGTCCCCCACCCAAATTTTTGGGTATAACCGTGGATACCAGAGCATATAATAAATCAAGTACGCTATTAGTCAGTGGATAATGTTCCAGCCGGCATTCATTTTGTTCAATTTCCATCTCTAAATTACAGGTATCTAGAACGTTAAGTCGCAATAAATTTGTAAATAATTTACATGGTGCTTCAGTTTTTTTTTTACCGTAGTTCATATTGGAGGGAAGTGTTTTTATAATTTGTGAAGCTTCCAAGTTGTTCCATAGTGGTATAGCGGTCTCCTTTGATTTTGCCAGAGCTGTTAATGTCAATAGAATATCAGATTTTAAGTATATGGGTACGGAACAACTAAGCAGTCCTAAAAATGAAATTAAGAATAAAAAAATAAATATTTTTATTTATTTTCAGTTTGCGCCCTAGTACCTATTAATGTGTAAAGAGGATTCCAATTAGGATGTTCGCAAATTGCAATTCTTGCTACCTCATCATGAGAAGCCACAGCGCGCAATACCTCCAATACCGCTCGTAAACCCTCAATTTCTTGGGGATTTATATTACGGTTTATTATTCTATTTCTGTATATCAATTCAGCAGCAGGGTAGAAATCTTGTTTTAAATTTCTGTAATATATAAATAAATTGCCCAGTTTCAGATTAAAAATTTTGCGTTAACTTTTCCAATAATAATTTTCTTACAAATTGTTAGTATGAAATTATGTTGTTTTTGTACTTACGTGTAATATCGTGTTAATGAAGAAAAAAAGTGCTCCCAGGATAGAGCAGCACTGCCGGTTAATCCAGTTGATTGCTTTAGTAAATTGAATGTACTTCGAGAAGACCTTTCACAGCTGGATAAACCAGCAATCATTTTTAAGTAAGGAACAAATAAAGTTGCAGGAAGTAATTCTCCTGCTAAGCGTATGAATTTAAAAAGTGAAACAGATCGAGTTGTTGTTACATAATTTGGGGAAGAATCTAGGGGTCCCCAATATTCGGAGCACAATGAAAGTCCAGCCTTGTCTTCAGCATAAAATTTCCCAATGCACAGTAGAAGCATTTCAAAATTATGATCCAAATTTTTTGGCGGTTCCAAACCTTGACTGGTAAAACTAAGAACAGTCTTTGAAGTTTCATCTGCTCTTCCACGTAGTTCAGTTACTTTGGAATGCATGAAATCAATAAAGTCGGTAAATAACATATGCACTCTTCTATAGAAGAATTGATGTCTGAAATAAAAATGTACGTAAACCTTTTGGCTGATTATAAAATTGTGTAAAAACTTACTGATATGTCATATTCTTTTCCAGTAGATAACAATAAATGAATTTGAATATGTTTGAACAAATTGCCTCATCTACCAAATGTTCGTCATAGTCCGATATTGATGTTTGATTGTGAAAATACTGTGATGCATGGCGCAAACCAGAAATCGCCAAGCCGAATGAAAATTTCACTAAACTCAAAATTCCATTGTTTAGGTCCGAATTTGATTCAGCCATTAAAGCTGAATATATCTGTTGCACATATTCGCGGTCTTTTATAACATATAAATTTTGTATCAATTGGTTGTCATCCTGTTTTTGCAAAATACTGGTGTCATACGAGTAGAGTAGAGCCATGAGCATGGTAAGAGTTGTATTTTCCATTTCTCCGTTTGCTTCTTTGGACTTATATAGCACTAAACTTTTAAGTAATTTTATAGTGTTCGACTTTGGCAATCCTCTTTGAGCCGACCAATTAAACAAGGCTGTGGCTAAAGAAATGCGAATGTCTACGAATAGCTCCGTTACTTGATTTTGATGTTTGTTGTCTCCAAGAGCTCTGTTTTTGGTTAGTATATTAATCTATAAATAAAAGAATTAAATAAGGAATTATTTATCAATAAGATGGTGTTGTTCCTCTATCTATTTTTATTTAACTAAGTTTAGCGTATGGGAATGTTGTCAAAAGCAGACATGCGGATACGAAATTAAGGTACTTTTTAATAATGTATTTAAATATTATTTGATATTTTTCAATCAATGTTTCAAGTAGAACTTACATATGAATCATCCCCGTGTATACATGTTCGTGCTTGTTTATTTTTCTGTATTGGGAGCAGCACATCCCGGAATGCTTGCTCCGGATTCTTTTGGTCCGTGCCGGGTTTGAGGAAAACCCCGGACCATGGTTCTGTACGGTTTGCCAAAACATCATCCACCATAGATCAGTCTCGGTGCGATGCAATGGATGCGGAGGAAGGGTGCATTTTAGGAATTTTACGAATATAAAGATCACAGCGGTGCAGGAAACCAAGCTCAATGGAAATTGTAACTTACAACGTTGCAATGAGGAAAGATCGCACCAGAAGTAGAGGTGGGCATTAGCGTTCCTGTTACACTATTCTTTTCAATATAGACCTATCTCGCTTAAGCTAGTCTCTAGTGACCCAATACATGGTGTGAATGGGGGTAGCAGTCAAGTGTGGAACTGCCGAGGTAGAGGTGCTTAATGTGGATATCCCCCCGGTTAATAGCTGTAAACCACGTTACTTGTCTAATATAATCCCACTTTTGGAAGGCAATAACCGCCTGGTACTAGGGGATTTCAACGCCCACCATGAGTTGTGGCATTCCGTCCTAGGTAATGACCAGAGGGATCAGCGTTGGCAGAGCAGATTGACTGCTCCACATTTTGCTCGGTAAACGAGGATGCCCCACTCGAATAAGAGGAGAGTGTCAGATTTAACCATTGTGTCACCCGGTCTGATAAATGACGTGACTTGGCAACCCGTCATTTCTCTTGGCTCAGACCATCTCCCGATAATCGTCTCAATTTGTCGAGCACCCCGAAAGTGATAAGGCGAGACGAAGAGTACTACGTCGTATAAGAGCTCTTCCCGCCGAGGATGTACCTCCACAGTTTACGATGAATGATGTTGCGAATGTCATCCGAAACGCTAAGTCATCTAAAGCGTTGGGCCCGGACGTAATATCAAAGGTAATGTTGAAGCAACTGGATACACCGGGAGTTGAGTATCTAACCAAAGTTCTTAACTTGTCGTTAGCCACCCACATAGTTCCCGAAACCTGGAAAATGGGCAGGGTGGTCCCGCTACTGAAGCCTGGCAAGGATGCCAGCAAAGGTCAATTTCGCTTTTGTCGCTAGTAGCCAAGACTCTTGAGTCTTTACTCCTCCCCGGTATCAAAGGAAGCTATTCAGTTGCCAACCAACAACAGAGTTTCCGTCCACTACATAGCACCACAACAGCATTGCACGCCATATCCACACATATCAGTCGAGGATTCAACAAGAACAGGCCGTGCCATAGAACAGTAGTGGTGGCTCTCGATCTATCAAAGGTCTTTGATACGGTCAACCATGCCACGCTGTTCGAGGACGTTGAGAATACTACCCTCCGGCCAAGTTTGAAACGTTGGATAGTCAACTATATGTGTGGACGCCAGTCGCACGTGGAATTCCGGAATAAGAAGTCCAAGCCTCGTAGAGTGAAACAGGGAGTTCCCCAAGGTGGGGTGATATCTCCGGAACTGTTTAACCTATACATTTCCGGAATTCCGCGCCCTCCAGACGGCATCGACATCGTAACATATGCGGATGACTGTACGATCATGGCGTGGGGTCCTGTAGTTGATGACATATGTGTCAGGGTGAACAACTATCTCGCGGAGCTTGCCGACTTCTTTCATGCGAGGAATATGAAAATATCCGCACTAAATCGACGGCAACACTACACTTACCACATGGACTGCGGAGATGAGAACACAGCTGAGTGTGCAGGTCGAGGGGCAAATAATTCCGACCACCAACTACCCAAAATTCCTTGGAGCCACATTCGATAGCATTTTCAAGTCTTCCGCGCAAGCCACAGCTATCTGCGATAAAATGAAAAGTAGGAGCAAGGTCCTCAAGGCGCTATCCGGCGGCACTTGGGGTGCGGATAAGGAAACCTTCTTGACCTCTTATAAAGCGATAGATCGCTCTGTGGTTAGCTATGCGGCTCCAGTGTGGTCGGCGAATACGAGTGTAACGCAGTGGAAAAGGATTCAGACCTGCCAGAATGCCGCCCTGCGAACTGCAACAGGGTTCCTCCTCATGACACCTGTGGACCATTTACTTAGGAGACGAAGGTTCTTCCCTGACGTCAGCAAAATCAAATGCTTTCGTTGCAGTACCTGCTTGTGTGTTATCGTGGGAGTCATCCCAGCCTCGTGGGCAGAACTCCCCAACACAGGCGTGTCAGGAAGGACCTGCCTGCTCTAGAGAAAGATGTCCAGCGATATAAGAGAGAGCTCCTAAATCATGAAGCCTATCAAGCGAGTCTGAATAGCCTTCATACTGAAGCAGTCGCAGAGGTAGTTAATAATTATAGTATGAATGCCATAATCGGAGTCCACCTCCCCATACATTGCAGCTGAAGACCGTCGCATGCCTAGGCAAACCAGGGTAGTTTTGGCCCCACTACGTTCAGGAGCGGTCTCAATTCGTATTGGGCACGAATTGACGAAGATGTGCTTTGGCTTTGGCTGTGAAAAATGAAGACCTTACCCATACACTACCAGAGACTGCCCGTCCAGGTAGTGTAGCTAACGGACAAAACCAGAACCAAGAGTCATTTTTTAAACTCGAAGCAAAATTATGACTGAGACTTATCTCCAGAATTGAATTGAATTGAATTTCTTTTTACCACCGATGTACTTCGGAGCAGTTAACTGAAGAATTAGAAAGTATACGTAATCCCACCCGCTGTGAACCGAACCGTCCTGAGCCGCATAGTAGCCGAAATACAGAACATACCAGGACAAACTTTTCCCGAACGGAAAGGAATGATTGTGTACATAGGAGGAACCTAGCGCGAAACCGCCAGCAAAAAGAGGCGTAAACAACGGAACCTACCTCACATGCGAGGAGCATCGTCTCACGGCAATGGCAATCATTGAAGGATGTAAAGTCGCCGCAACGATCGACACGGGAGCTACGAGTTGCTTTATGGCCAGAGAAACCGCCGAAGTTTTAAAGAAGGATCTGAACTATCAGCGAAAGCAAATAGAAGCAAAAGATGTTATACTAGCCGACGGGACCACCGTCAACATAACCAAATCGACTATGCTCCGAGTGACATTTGGAAACCACTCTACCGATCTGCCCTTTTCAATCATGCCACAATTTAAGGAAAATATCATTTTGGGATTGGAATTCCTTAAGCAATTCTTCACAACACTAAACTATGCGGGACTCATCGTTAAGTTGGACAAATCGAGCATTGTACCATTTCTATTGAGGATCTGGCTAAGGTGAGAAAATCGGTTGTATGTGTACTGAACGCACTACCACATTATAAAGTGAAGTGTGATAAGCTTAGTACAACATCCAAAGGACTCATTATGGATTTCAAAAGTTGCAGCCATAGCCGATATGAGACCGCTAACGTCGGTCAAAGAAGTACGTCGATTACTCGGAGTGGCATCGTGGTACAGGAGATCGTTCCACATTTTTCCACCATCTCGCATCCCTTAACCAGCCTTCTGAAGAACATTTTAAATGGGGAGACGACCTACTCAAACGCAGGCTAACCGAGGCACGCGTACTAGCATGTCCAGACTTCAGTAAAACATTCACCGTGCAGACGGACGCAAGTGCTTTCGGTCTGGGAGCGGTTCTCAAGCAAGAACTGGATGGTGGAGAGCGCGTTATAGCATATATAAGTTGACATTTAAATGGGGCGGAGAAAAACTACTCCGCAATCGAAAAGGAGTGCCTCCCCATTATTTGGGGTATTCGTCAAATGAGACGAAGGGTATCAATTCGTCGTGATTACAAATGGTTGAATTCGATAGAAAGTCCATCGGGAAGGTTAGCACGCTGGGCCCTCGAACTTCAGCAATAAAACTTCGTCGTCAAAAATAGGAAAGGGAAGTATAGTAGTAGTAGTTGTAGACGCACTTTGAACACCAGTGCCTCCGAATCAACAGGATATTGTCCAGCATACCTGACACAAGGTAGAGAACCCAGATTACCCCGGCCATTGTATGACCAAGTCACCCCCGGAACAGGGGCGCGAATTTTCCAACCTGAAGGTAGAGCTTTAGAATTAAAAGAAGTCTTCTCTATCGTCCGGCGCAACCTTACTAAGGCTTCACAAAACCAAAAACGTCGTGGAAACCAGATTAGAGATATGGTTTTGCTACCAATCAAAAGCAATTGAGAACTTAGAACTTTAGAAAGGAGTGTGTGACGTCTGTGAAGTCAAGTGGGGTTTCTAACGTTCCCTTGGCTCTTTAATTCACGTGTTCTCTGTTTTGTAAAGAGGGGTTTCTAACGTTCCCTTTACTTCAGGGAGGAGTGTGTGATGTCTGTGGAGTCGAGTGGGGTTTCTAACGTTCCCTCGACTCTTCAATTTTTGTATTCGTGTTCTCTGTTTTGTAAAGAGGGGTTTCTAACGTTCCCTTGGCTCTTCAATTCGAGAAGTGTTCGTGTTCGCTGTTAATTAAAGAGGTGTTTCCAACCTTCCCTTTACTCTAACGTATTCGTGCGTCTTCCAGCAGAGAGAACAGATGGTATTCCTGTATCGCATCGCTGCAAATATCGCCCCCATCGATCTATCTTCAATGTAGTGTTAAACGTCCGTGAATGCAAGCGTTTCCTGTGTCAACGCACCGTCGAATAAACTGTCAATATAGACTAAAATCGTCACTCATAGAGGACCCACTAATTGTTTAAGTCGTCTGATCGACGTCCCATGTGTTGTGAAATTAACTGATGTAAATTGTGTTTTATATATAAGAAATATATTTTTCAGTTGGCAACCCTGTTGTGATTAGTGTCAAAAAATTGTGGTGCTCCGACCTTTTGAAAAAATTATTAGTTATATGTTTTTAAAATTAATTAATCTGGTAAAAAGTGTTTAAAAGTGTTCAATAGTGATTTTGTAACTCAAAGTGATAATTGGTGTAGTGTTTTAAAATTTTGTTTTGTCTTTTAAAGTAATATCAATTTTCAAATTGTGTAGTTTTACATTCTCCTTTATCCTCTTTCTTTTGTGACATTAGCTAATTAGTTGTTGTAACATATCGTCTTGTTTTGTTTGTCATCTCATAACAGTTAAAAAAGGATTTAAAAAAGAATAAAATAAATTAATAAAAAAATTCCAGCTACAGATCTAATCTTGAAACATATAGTTGTAACTTGTGTATTAAAAAAGAAATAATTATAATTAAA